TACATGTACAAATACACTATTAGTACAATGTACATGTACATGTATATAAGTGCATTGTACATGCTATACATTAACTGACATAGCATTCTTACCAGGAGAGTTTACTTAACGAGTCCAGTATTTCAGGTACTGTCATTTTTCTCAGAACCACTGATATCTATTAATAGGAAAAATTTATCAATAATCTGCGTAATAATAATATTAAGGATTGAATACAGTATAGTTTCTATTGTATATGTATATACATGTATTCAATAACATACCCAGTCATCATTATAAAATCATCAGGTTGCAGCAGTTGATCATCTCCAGCTGTTTCAATGAATAATACGTCTCGAACCAAAAGAGAGTTTTACTTTTATTCTCTTTACTATAAAGGAAGAGAAAGAGTGAGTGAGAAGGAGGAACAAAATAGAGTAAGGGACAGTGAATGTTAATTATGACAGTCAGGAGCTACTCTAGCATTGACTATGAATTATAATGTATTTATTATGTAAGTCACATTTTAAGGGCTTAAATCATATTAATACATTTGTAACAATAGCACATTAAATACCCATTGAATGTCCTTCATGTGTATTTTGTTTGTTAAAGTTGGGGGGGGGGTTAATTCCTACTTTAAAAAGTTAGGTAGGGCTTTAGCCTCTCCTAGGCCTCCTGCCTACCCTGTTCCTACCCCTATGGTCAAAACCAATGCAAGTTTTAGTCTCCTGAAATTTTCTGACTTTTAATTGAAAGATTCTGACTCAAAGAACTGGGAGACAAAATATCGGCCCCATTTTGTGAGGATTAATTAATTAATAATACTTTACTATTATTAATTATGCATGTCCATTTATTTATAATTATTGTACTGAAAGTGTTATAGGAGAGGATTCATTAATATTTACCATTACTATTATTATTATAAATATAGTTCTATAGTACTGCACATGCTCAGTAGAGCTGTGTAGATTGGAGAAGAGATTTGTTTGTTATAGCTACAACAGCTACAATTTGCAAGCAGAAAATTTCTCAAAAAGACACCACTGTGGTCCAACACCAAAATTTACAGCACTCAAATAAAAAATTGTAATTTTATACAGTTGAACTAACAATTAGGGTTAAAACTAGAGATGACTGCCAGATAAATCCTATGGGATAAAAAGAAAATATAAATTTTGGCTTATAAAGCAGATTTTATTGAAAAAAGCTAGGGGCAATACTAGATCAATATTATGTATGGATAAACTAACAGCAAGTAGCGGAATATTAAAAACCTTGTGCAATAACTAGCAGTGATGTCAACTGGGCTGAAAATCATGTTTTTACTTGTCAGCAACAGGTTTCAAGTGCCGACAGTAGTTTAAATCATGCCAGAAGTTCCCTACAATCAGCTCAAAATGAGATAAGCAGCCATCAGTCATCAATCAATCAAAAGCAAGTATCTATTGCTCAATGTGAGGAAAAATGCAAGGATTGCCATGAGAAAATTAGCTCTATCAAGAAATTGATAGCATTTTTAATGGATGCCATTCACTTTTGGGGTATTTTTGTGAATGAATCTGAAGATGCTGAAGAGCTGTCAAGTTGTCTCGAAGAGATTATAAAAATAACAGAAGAGAATAGAGAGTATGACCTTATTACATCTGACGGAACAAAAATTTTAGCAAACTCATTTCTGGAGGCGTGGGAAAAATTTGCAAAGCACAAAAAGCTAATAGTTGCTGAAAGTGAAACTTACCCACAGCTTCTACCTGCTGCTAATTAGGATTGCTACTATATGTACATGTGCTATAAACATTGCTAATAAACTAGATTAGATGAA